AGAAGAGAAAGCTTGCTTGAAACAAACCATCGGAAAATCTATCAAAACAGATCAAAGAAAGAGCGATAAGTTCGATGTGGTGAGAAAAAAAAAAAAAAAAAACGAGGGCAAGGAATCGTGCTAAAACCACCCAATGGCCAAACCTAAAACGAAGAAAAGAGGACCGGTGAGTTAAAGAAATGAATCAAAAGCACGTTCAAGTGTCAAAAAAAAAAAAAAAAAAAAAAAAGGGAAACGTTTTTTTTTTTTCTTTTTTTTATGGAACTGACCTGAAATCGAGCCAAAGAAATTAGCAAAACCACCGAAAAAAAAAGAGCTAAATTCGATGGAGGTGAAAATCCTTTTGCAAGAGGGTCGATGGTTGAAAGCTGATGAATGAAAAAATTGGTAGGGGTCACCTCCTTTTATAAGCTAGAAAAATAACTATCCCATTTATGTTAGGATTGAGATTTTCCAATCACAAGGAGTTTGAAATCTACTGGGAGAAGGATAATAGGTGTTTGAGTTGAGAAAATTAAGTTGCAAAAGAATCCTTTTGCATGAATAAAACGTGAGGTGCTGGGACTATCTCTTGCTGCGCATGGAAATCGAATTGCAATTGGAATTGCATTCAAAATCTGATTTTGAGTGGGCCCACAAAAAAAAAATTAAAAATAAAATAAAAATAAAATAAAATAAAGCTACAATTGGGCCCTTGAAATGAAAGGATAATTTCAAATAGATCCTCAAGTCAAGAAAAATGTATTTGCAGTTGGGTCCTTCACTAAAGCCAAAAGAATATGACTTATTAGTTAAGTCCCTCAAGGTGAATGATTTATTAAATTACACCCCAAAATTGAGGAAAGGGGTTTTGAAGCAAGCAAATGAAAGGAAATTCAAGTACTTCAAGTCTCGTCTCACAAACATTCAATATGTTCTTTGCCGAGACTAGAAGTGGGGGCATTTTGTAGACAAATAAAAATTAAGCCAATTAAATGGCTAAATTATATATGGAATAAAGTTTTATCTAATGGCATTTGTGTAATTATACATAGCCAAAGGACTTAGATGCCAATTGAAGACCCGTATATATGCGGTCACATATATATTCTTATACAATTATATATTTTGGAATTTAATTAAATTAATTTCTAATTTAAATAAATAATTGATATTAAATATATATTGGCCAATAAGATCATTTCTTTTCTCCCAAGTTATAAAGAGATAAATATCAATTAATTATTGGCCAATAGAATTGTTTCTTCTCTTCCAAGTTACAAGAGATAAATATCAATTTAAATTGGGCCAATCAAATCGCGCCACATCATCAGTGAGGCCCATCAAGGACTCTTATTCTACCACTATAAATAGGGACCCTCCCTTCACAATTCGAAAAACACAACTGAAGGAGCAAAACCGTAGGAGCAAAATTCTCTCTACAATTCAAGAAGCAAAGAAGAAGAAAAAGCGTAGGAGAAAATTCTCTCTACAATACTCAAGTCGTTCTTCACAATATTCAAGTCGTTCTTCATCAAATTCAAGGCTTTCTTCATCAAATCCGGCGTTCGATCCGAGATAACGGTGCCAAACCTTCGGATTAACGTTAATCAATTCAAGTCAAGATCATTGGAAGATTGAAGGGCGAAATCCATCAAGAATTTCAAGATCTTCAAGTCAAATTCAGTCAAAGTTCAAAGTTCGATCCGAGATTCAAGTCGCAAGACCCTTGGAAAACGTTATTCAAATCCAAAATCAAATCCGGAGAAGATCAAGTCAACGACCCGACTCCGAAAATTCAAGTCAACTATATATTGTTCTAGAGAGAAGAATCAGAGGATTAAAATAGAGATTGTAACCCGCAATTTATTTATTTTAATTCAATAAAATCATCTTTGTTCAATTTTTCTTGTTTGTTTATATCGCATATAAGAATTTGTTGCTACAATCATCATGCTTTGTAGAAGCATAATGAAGTTATGTATATATTATTAGCATTTGCCACAAATTGTAATGAGAAAAATATCACAATGATTCCTATGTTAAGTTTTCTGCAAAATCTATTCAAAAAAGCATAAATAATTAACAAATTTAAGTATGTAAAACAAATAATGAGCGCATATCAATTCTCTCCAGTTTAATTGAGAGTTAAGAGTTAACATAGCAACACTCGACATATTTTATGATAAAGAACTGATAATTTATGCTTTTACCTTCCCGGAATCACATCTTCCATCTTTTCCAGGAGTCATCCTTCCATCTTTTCCAGGAGTCATCCGTTGCTGCCCTTGTAAAATATAAGATAAAATAGGATAAATTTTTTATTAGAGAATGCAGATTATATTATCATTAATTAGGAATAAGCACAACATAAAATTGAATTGGTACAACATAAAAACAAATAGGAAACAATACACAAAGTGAATGCAAAAATCATAAAATATATAAATTATTAGCCAAATAATGACAATAATGAAGGACGAGCAAAACAAAAAAAAAGATAAAACTAAACAAAACACATTGACGTGAGTATAGAGAAGAAAAAAAACCCAACAAAATTCGGAGTATGAGTAAAATGATGAATGAAGTGAATAGGTTATATATAGATGGGTAGAATGTGGTTTAAAAAGTGAAAATCATATAAATTAGGAAAATTCTTAATAACAATTATGGAATATGATTTAAGAAAATTAGATATTACACAATTGAATAATACTTATGGAAGAATATTGAATCATTTATATTGACCGATTTCTAAAAAATACCTTAATAAAATAAGTATATACGAAAAGTATGAAAAAAGACATAATTATGTATGTAGATTGATATGTATAGATTGTTTACTATAAATAGGCATAATTTTATTAAATGGTATTTTATCTACAAAAGGTAAAATATATAGATGATGCGTGTGTATATATATATATATATATATATATATATATATATATATATATATATATATATATATATATATATATATATATATATATATATATATATATATATATATATATATATATAGTTTCTATACATACAAAATATTAATTTAATTTTTTATTATATATATATTAATACTAAATTCAAAAAATATATTTCATTTCATTAATTAAAATATTATACTATTCCATTTATATGATAATGCAATAATAAGATAAATTAATTTAAAATTTTAAAACAATATATTAAAAGAATAGTGCACAATAGGATGATGTAGATTCTTATATATATGAAAAAAATTAAATTTTATTATATTCATTTGATTAATTAACCTAGTACTAATTGGATTAATATAACACATAATAATGCATTAATAAAATAATTTAATGTATATTTATAAAACAATATGAATATAAATTTTTAAAAGATTTCGTATATTATTATAAAAGAGATACTAAACTCGATAATATATATGTATAAAAAAAATTGAATATTCATACTAAATTCGAAAAATATATTTCAGAAAATAAAAACTATAAAAAAATAATGTTTTTCGATTTTATAGGATATTAAATGCATGAAATATTATATATATATATATATATATATATATATATATATATATATATATATATATATGTGTGTGTGTGTGTGTGTGTGTGTGTGGTAATTATTAAATGAGTGTGCAAGTGTGAAATAGGAAATAACTTAAAAATATACCTAAATGAAATTGACAACTCACCAATTGAAGAAATACACCTCATCAATTGAACTCCAACTAAGCAATTTTGATAAATGACATCATTATTTGCCACATGTCAATCATTGAGGGCATAGATCCTTTTTTTATATTATATATATATATATATATATATATATATATATATATATATATATATATATATATATATATATATATATATATATATATATATATATATATATATATATATGTCGTATATTTGCTATATGCATGTGAGTCTCCCCAAATAAAGCTTGGGCTGCAAAATGCAATAAACTCCGAGTGAACGAACGCCTGTCATACTGGTTTAACGTTTAAACTAACGGAGTTTCGATTCACAAAATAAAAAATAAAAAAAAAAATAAGAATAGTAATTTAATTAATTAAATAAATGTTATCGATCACATCTTGATGACGATTCATCTTTCATTATATCTATTTTCCCAACAATTAATTAATCCAGTATCCCTTCTTCACATACTTGGACATTTGTGTCATGTCCAACTAATTAAGCTGTTTGTACAAACAGCCTAAACCAATTAAGTAGACATGAAGGCCACTTAATTAGTCCCAAAGAGGCAAAATTATGATGACAATATTTCACATTAAGAAAAAAAAAAAAAAAAATCATCTTATTTGCTATATATTTTAGGGTAAATTCCACTTTTCTTTTTGTACTTTGCTTCGATATTATTTTATCTCATTTCACTCTCGATTGCATCGATTTTCCTTCCTGCACTTGAAAATTGTCTTAATGTGGTGTGACCCTAGCCGTTAGTTTCCATACCTTTGACCTTAACTATTTGGTCTAGGGTCTGAAAATTACAAAAAAAACATCTCCTCCCAATTTAAAAAATTATAAAAAATAAAAAATAAATTGTGGTTGCCGTCGTGGACTTGCCTTGATTTTTTTTTTTTTTTTATTTTATTTTTTGTTTTTTTAATAATTATTTAACCAGGGAGGGGTGACGTTTTTGTAATTTCGGTGTTAATGCAAATGTTTGACCACTAACAACAAAGATCACATTGGGACAATTTTTCAACTGTAGGGGAAAAAATGGAATTTGCACTAAATTTAAACAACGAATAGAGATAATAAAAGTCAACTCTAAAGAACCTCTTAACACAAACGTATATTTTGATTCTTCTCTTGCCATTGGCTACCGTGTTAGTTAATTGATGTTGAATTAGTCGTCCTACTGATCAAAGTCAACGGTACTAATTGTAAGTAAACGAGTGACAACACTGCTACATTATTAAAGCCATTAATCATTATTACATAATCTCAAGTTGTTGCCTTAACATGAAAAATCCAAGTTAAGTACTTGTATTTCATAAAATGGAAAGGTACGCAATTGCCCTTATAGTTTGCGGTGCTACAGCCGCCGCAGTCATTGCTTTGTGTTGCCTCTGCAAGTGCCGCCGCCGCCGCCTCAAGATGGAGCCAATCAAATCTCCTACGCCGCAGGCGACGAATTTCGCACAGCCAATCACGTTACAGACCAGTAATCCGCCGCCGCCTCCAATAGTACTACTTCCCGATCTAGAAATGGGGGAAAACACCGGCGCTAAAAGAGATGGTGATATGGTCATATTGAAGGGAACTGGTGGTTCCACTACTGCTTCGGCCGCCGGAGGTAGAGGTGGATGCGGCGCCGCCTGCGGTCGGGGTGGGGGTGGGGGGTGTGGCCCCAGTGGTGGCGGTGGATGTGGAGGTGGGGGGTTCGGTGGTGGAGGATGTGGCGGTGGCTGTCATTTTTGAAACCAGACTTCTGCATATTGTACTCTATTATTTTCAGAATTATTTCTAATATTTATATATATATATAAACTGTGTTATTTTCGAATAACTTGTGCAAGAGTAAAAATATTATTTTGACTACAATAGTATTGTACTTAATCATTTTATAATCTCAAATCCTTTAATTTTAGTGTAAAAAATAATTATCATATTCACAAGTTATGTTCATTTTAATTAGTATTATTTTGTTATTATCAATTTCATCGTTTGATTTATACCTAACTACTAATTTCACTCAGTAGGTACGTAGTTTGCATGCACGTTTTTTGTAGCTTGAGATTGGATGATATGATGGCCTATGGGTAGTCGAAATTTAAGTATGTCATGAGTCAGAACTTTAACTAATGAGATATAATGTTCATGACAATATTCTTATCATTTATAATTTACGACAGTATAGAAAAAATAAAGTTATTGAACATAATTTCTGTAGGCATCCTACTATGTATTGTGCATTTACTTATTTCAACAACAACAACAATAGTAATAGTAATAATAGCAATAGTAATATTAATAATAGTAAGTAGTAATAATAGTAAATAGGTATTAATAGTAAATAATAATAATAATAATAATAATTATTATTATTATTATTATTATTGTTATTATTATTATTATTATTATTATTATTATTATTATTATTATTATTATTATTATTATTATTATTATTATTATTATTATTATTATTATTATTATTATTATTATTATTATTATTATTATTATACATATCTTTGCTTCAATATATACAAAAATTTTGAAACTTTTAGAACAATTAATAAGAAAATTAAGAAAATATGCACAAATAATGTATGATTTAAGGAATTTATTTTGAAATATGATAATCTTGTGCTTAAAGCAATTCTCTTTTTTTTTAAGAGGAAGAAAAATTACTTTATTAGGTGTAAACATATTTCGGGAGGAAGAAACGGCTCTTCTTACATTCAATTATTAAGTCTTCTTACATTCAATTATTAAATTACTAGCTAGAGCATGTGCAAGACAATTCCCTTGCATGAGGTAAAATATTAAGCTAACATCTGAATCTCCTCCACAAAGGCACCAAAAGAGTCTTCATAAAGCCACCAAAAGAGTGGAAAATATGCATCATTTCCTTTAAAGCCTCAATCACTTGGAGACAATCTTGCTCAATAATCATCGACAACCAAGCCTCGGCCTCACATTCTGTTGGTCGAGCTCTCCCATAAATTTTCTCCACGCTCCACAACCTGACCTGTCCCATATTCATCCCTTTTCCACCATGGAACAAATGTAGAAGTCCTTGTTCATTGGAAATGCAACATCAAAATTAATCTTAATGACACTGTCTCGAGGAGAAACTCAACAAGTTCTATGTTTGGTGAAATTTTTAAATTAAATGAAGAGAGTTCCTCGTGAAGATGTAGTCGAAACGGTTCCTTACTTCACACCTTTTCCATCCCTAGGCATCGGAACAACACATGCGTAATAGTTTTGGGATGATTTAAAACAACCTTGGCATAACGAAGAGGTACTAATATGCCACACTCAAAATAGCTCCACTTTGGCTGGGAGAATATCCGACGCCTGCCATATAAAGATTTGAACTTTGGAGGGAATCAATAAGTTTCAACTCAATTTCCACGTATGTTTCAGGTCCTCAGTGTAGGACCTCAGGCACTACCAGTTGTCCTAAAACCAATTGGTGTTAGGAAAGCCTTATAGTGCATTCAACACACACAAGCGCCCACGGCATTCGATTGTGGGCCGCCCAAACCCGGGCCGCCTCCACCACGTGGACAATTGCTGCCAAACCCAGGCTAACAATCTCCCCCTCAACAATTGCTCCAGCTGGGAATCGAACCCGTGACCTTGGCTCTGATACCATTTGTAGGACCTCAGGCGCTACCAGTTGTCCTAAAACCAATTGGTGTTAGGAAAGGCTAGGGTTGGCGCAGACCCTAGCCTTATAGTGCATTCAACACACACAATCGCCCACTGCATTCGATTGTGGGCCGCCTATACCCGGACCTCCACCACGTGGACAGTTACTGCCAAACTCAAGCTAACACTCACCACTCAATGACACACCACTTTCCAATTGATTCCTTGAGCCGGTTCGCTTTGCTAAAATATTGTGGTAACATTACCATACTGTAATGCGCCTCGAGTTCGAATAGTGCCATACAATCCGATCTTTTGAGAACTTCCAAGAGGGACTGCTAAGATTCTATCCTTATCAATCGGCCATAAATTCCATTAATAAGGTCGAGATTCCATGAGCACAAGTCCTGGATAATCAGACCGAAAATCTTGTTTGTGCTGCCCTATTTTCTACTTAGGCTCTGATTGGTTCTCAGAAAATGCCAAGTAAAATGGTAAAAAGTCAAAGTAAAATACTTTTCATGTTTGGTTAAAAGGTCAAAAGGGGAGTAAAAGGAAATTAGGAAAATAAAGGGAAAAAATTAGCCTAAAATAAGGAAAATCTCTTTTCCTCAAAACAAAAGTGATGAAACCCTAGGAAAAAAGTAACGGGACTTTCTTCTTCACCTCTCTTCTTCAATTTCTCTTCTTCACTTCCGATTCTTCTTTCATGGCTTCAAAATTAAAATCTTCTTCAAATTCTCGCCGTCGATCACCTCTATTGGGTGTGAATCTGCAAATCCCACCGTCGGACATGAAGAACGGCCAAAGACCACCAGTTCGGCGAGGTCAAATTCCCAATTTTGGGTATCGTAACTTTAATCCGCCGAGACAGAGAAATATGGAGTTGGACGAGAGCTATAACAGTCTTACTCAACTGCAGGATGATGATATTGAAGCGATTGAAGAGGTATTTTGCCGGATTTAAGTACTTTTGTTATTTCTTTTTTCTGTTTTTTTTTTTTTCCGATTGGGAAGCCTTTACATATGTAATTAGAAGGTGGGTTTATTTTAGGAGTGCGATTGTTGATGGAATAATTTAGCTTAATTGTAGATTTTACAAATATTCAATATGCTTTTCATTTTATTTTGGAAGAAACGTGTTGCATTGTTCATTATTCATGGGCTTTCTCCATCAATGAGTTTCATATACTAGTTACACCTTGTTGATTAAGTAAGCACCATGTAAATGTTAGTGGGTTATTTCTTGTAGTGATGAAGAAGCTAGTGATATGGAACTATATGGAATAATTGATTTAATCCACCACATGAAATCTCAGTAGTTAATTGTATATAAGAAGTATTAATCCAACATATTTGGTTTTCAAGTTCTATGATTATGTTCAACTAAGGGGATGATAATCTCTCTAAGTAATTAATCCTTGTTAGTTTCAAGAATTGCTATCTATTTGCTGAAAATTTTTACCTGTCTATTTTACTTCATTTTATACAGAAGGATAATCATGATCAACGTGAAAAAATGAAAAAAATGGGCAGCTACTTGTATAGTTGTTTATGCAGCACATGTTGCATTTCTTTGTTCATTAATACGGGGTCCGACTTATGAAAATGCTTCTGGTTTGGAGGAGTCGGACTACGGACGACATAGTATAGTGAAACGACTCACAAAAAAGAAAGAGGAGGATTGTCATAACAAGTTATGTATGGGGAAAAACGCTTTTGCAAATCTTGTGTACATACTAAAAGGTAGAGGTCTTCTTAGAGATACCGTACGCTCTAGCGTAGAAGAGCAAGTAGCTAAGTTTTTGTACATAATTGGTCATAATGAAAAAATTAGAGTAGTCGGTTTCAACTTTAGATGCTCTGGTGAGGCGATTAGCCGGCACTTCCACCAAGTGCTTCGAGCAATTATATCTCTTGAAGAGCTATTCTTAAAGCAACCTAAACTTCAAGGTAAAATACTTGAATATGTACAAAACTTTTATAAATATTTACATCCATTATATTGATGAATTAGCTACAGAATTGTGTAGGTGCAATTGATGGAACACATATTCGAGTCAAAGTTTCAAATAGTGATACACCAAGATATTGTGGTCGTAATTTTTTCCCTACTCAAAATATTTTAGTTGCATCCAATTTTGATTTGATGTTTACTTATGTGCTTCCTGGTTGGGAAGGATCGGCCTCAGATTCCAGAATTTTGAATGATTCTTTGACTAGGGAAATTTATCGTTTAATCGTTCCTGAAGGTAAGAGGCTCGAACTAAATTAAATATCAGTTCTGATCCAATATTCAAATTATATTTATTGTTTCTTATAAATGATTATTTTTCTAGGTAAATACTACCTTGCAGATGCATGATTCCAGTTAAAAGTAGGATTTTTGACTCCCTTTCGTAGTACTCGTTATCATCTTAATGAATATAGTGTTCATGGTCCACAAGACTTTCAAGAACTTTTCAATCTACGCCACGCAAAATTAAGAAATGCATTCGAACGTTCTTTTAGAGTCTTGAAAAAAGTATTTGCAATTTTGAGAAGTGGGACGGAACCTCACTTTTACGCTGAGGCATTAGGTGACACTGTGTTGGCAGGATGTATCATTCACAATTATCTTATGGGTGTTGATCCAGATCAAAAACTTATCAGAGAGGTTGATAGAGAGTTGGCAGTAAAAGCTCCTGAAACTTATCTAAAGTTAGTTGATGATTGTAGGGAAAGGGAAATTCTAAGAGAAAGTATTGCACTTGATATGTGGAAAAGTTATAACATACGTTATCGGTCTTAATATGTTTGTCTGATAAAATATTGTAATTTTATTAAGATTGGGTTTGTTTTGTCTTTCATTTTGCTGCACTATCTATTTTTAGTTTGATTAATATATTCGGGTCCTTTCCAGTATACCACAATAAATTTAGAGGATGGATCGGGTGGACTTGAATGGTAAGATGAAATCAGGTTATGCATATATTTTTTGCATTTAGTTTTTAAGTTCTTGTGTAAGTATACATATTATGAATTTGATCGACTTTTCAAATAATTCTTTTATCTAGAAAGTTATTAATTTTATTATGTCATTATGATTTATTAGAAGAAAA